TATATATATATATATACTATATATTTTAAGCTTTAATAAAGCTCTATCATATTAAAATTTGTAGGAAATACTCTCGTAAGCTATTTTTCATATCTTGTTTTATATTCATGCCCATTTTCATGTTTTGTTAAATTCGTAAAAATTTGTGTCTTTCCTTAAGAAGTAATATCGCTCCAATATTGTGCAATGATATTCTGATTAAGTTAGAGCTGATTGAACATATAATAGACTTAAGTCGTCTTAAGTGATAGAGAAGCGCTGATATGCTCAAAATACTAATATATTCTTGATAGGAATTCTTTCCCATTTTTAGAAATTTCACTATTGACAAATTTACATGTTAGTAAATCTCGCTAGGAAACATTTGGCGCGTTTACTTGATATTTCATTTTTGAATGATGAGATTTTACTGCCCTTATTAGTTTTCAATAGATTTATGGGCAATCATACAAAATGACGTAAGCTGCATAACCATAAGGCTTCTAGACCAATGCATTTTATGTAAATCATGGCTTTATGTTGGATGCTTATTAATTCAGTGACTATATACATGGCTACGCAGCTTATGTCATTTTGTGTATGATGGCCTTATAACTCCAAAATACAAATAGCATACAGCTTATCATTGCATGTTAATATCAGATAAAATGGCGTCCATCGCCTCTAAGCAATTCTAGGTAGTCAAATTTCTATTAATTATTTGTGCACATAACAATATTTTATATTAAGGTATTAAAAAAAAAATAATTTTTATAAAAACTGACAATTTGTATAATTAAAATAAGCAGCAGTTTTGTGATATGTATAACGATATCAGAGAAAGAGAATATACTTAAAGACAAGTTAATTAAATATTTTTATAAATTTAAAAAATGTTTCAGAAAAAAATGTGTATTTTAGAAAAAGAAAAAATTGCTTGATATTTTTTTTTAACTAGCACTCTAAACTTCTATAAAACACTTTTTTATCTGATATATTTATTTAAAACAAAAGAGTTATTTAAACTTAACTCGTTTGAAGTATCTTTCTCTCTTGCTCAGATTATTTCTATTATTAAACTGATTAGAGCTATATTCTGGCAAGAAATAATGAAATGTATAAAAAAATGCAATCATTAAAACAGATCATTTCTTAAATTTATCATATACATATTTATTTCATCTAGAAAGAATTGCATATCACAAAACTACTGACATAAATGAATTATTTTTCATAAGACAATTCAAGAATGATATATTTATATCATTATATATATATCATCAGATATATATCAGAGCCTTCTAATTCGGACATCGCGTGCCCCAAATCCACTTGCCTCTCGTCCGCCCGTGTTTGTTCCCTATCATGGGTTTAACACTTCTTCTTTATCTTATATTATTCGTGGCTGTTAGAGATGTAAAAATATTTTTGATCAAATTCATGAAAAAAGAATAGAATTCATAAATTAAATATGTAGAAAAAATAGAATTTATCTTTCCTTGTTATTTCGATACTTTTTAATACTTTTTAATACTTTTTATTTTTTATAATTTTATCGAAGCGGCAATATTATCGGCTGTTGCAATTCTTGATGAGTTGATAATAGATTAATAGGTCTGTTTGCGTTGCTTGTATTCTTTGCATTCAACATCTATGCTTTCTCTTTTTTCACCCGAATCTATTTTTCTAATCATTGCTCTGTTTTCTGTTCCTGCACTAGACTGCACTAGAACTGCACTCTTTCTCGCTTTGAATAAATATCAAATATATATCTTCAAATTCCAAAAATGTATACTGATTCAGCCATAGAAAACAGACCTCATATCACTTTAAGTGCAAAAATTTTGGGAAATTTCAAGCATGAATGCGAAGATCTAAAAATAAAGATAAATGACCTAAAAAAAATATCAGTAAAAAACTGTCAAAACCGAAAGAAAAAAACCATTAATTTCCGAGTTTTTTTACCTTAAAATTCTAGTATTTTTCCGTCGTTTACATCTATAGCTGGCTGTGCATCGGCGCGATGACGCGGTGTATCATTTTAGGTTTGTTCGCATCGCATATCCAACTTCTACTTTCTCCAACCGTAACTTCTATTCACTCAAACGCGCTCATTATAGAATGATAGGAACATGTTGAAACATGTTAGAGTATGCGATCTTTTGTATAATGATTTCGTTTGGAATCTCTATTGATCCTAAGCCCAGATCTTCATATCGGGCAATAGCGCTTTGATAGAGCGCTGAATTGTGAAAAGTCAGTTGTGAGAGTAAAATTTATCCCCATCATCCGTTTTTCACCAATCAGCGTTCGGTATTAGAGAGCTATTGCCCATATGAGGATCTGGGCTAAGAGTTATGTTTGCATACTTGCTTCAACTTGCTCTTACGCGTTTGGCGAGAAGACTGGAAGGTAGCGTTGGAGAGGATAAAATTGAAAAAAGCCTGCTTACCGTTGAAATGGGAACACAATTACCATTTGGAAGGCTCTGATATATTTCACAAATTTCTTTCTTCCGTAACTATAATATCTACATCTTATAAAACAAAAATTTTAATAATGTGATAGTGAAATTATGTTTAAAGCATAATTTCTTTTTTACCTATTTACTGATATTCAAACAAACAATTAAAATTATTCAATTAATAAAATATTCACAGCATGCAACAACTATTATATTGGTAACTTGCATACAAAATTATTATAATAAAAAACTCATTATTCTTTCAATCGTAATCACTTATATGGCTCTTTATATTAAATCATATATGACTTAAATAAATCAAAATAGCAAAGAGAAAAAGTAAGTCATATGTAACACTTTAAAACTTATTTATACATCTTTTTAGACATTAAGATTATTCATTATAAATATGCTTCACCTCATTGCGAGATTTTCTCATAAAGAGGTTTTGAAATTGCGTGAAAAGAATGATATAAAAGAATGTCAGGATTCATAAATCAATCGCTGATAATGAGGAAATATTTCCCATGTTGGCAAATGCAAACCAAATTCTAAAGCTACCAACACGGCAAACTCAGACGTAATTAAGTCCTTGCGATTTAATCGGAATACTCCTTCAATTCTCTGTAAATAAAAGTAATAATAATTATTATATAAAATTTTTATTATTACATAATACAAAATAAAGATACCTCGATGAGGGATTTAAGAATATCACCCTTCACATCATTCAATTTTGCTGCAAGAAGTAAACAAGCGCCAGCACATAACTTCCGTGTCTGTTTTGTCACGATATTTCGAAGAATAAGTTTTTCAAAATATACATAGGCCATTGCGACAGTGAGTAAATCAATTCCATATTCTAATTTAGCTATTTTTCTCATTTCTCGTTTTAAACTGAAAAAAGAACTTGTAAAAATAATAGCTAGAAATGAGAATATACACTATACATATATTGCTATACATAAACGTACCTGCGAAGTTTACTGAGAGTGAGTTGAATATGTGGAAACTTTTCTTTAAATTTATCATTTAATTCTTTCTTCAAATCGGAAGGCCTTACATAATCAATAACGGATGCCTATGTGATTGTAAAATATTAAGTTGTATTAATCAAAAGTCTCTTAAGTCATTAATTAAAACAATTACAATTAAGAGGGCATAGGTATCTAGAAGAGTAAAAAAAATCGAATTTTTAAAATATATATTTTTAAAGTTTGATATATTAAGATGTTTCTGTAAAGTTATAAATCCAGCGAAACGTATCAACAAAATTTTTTATAAAAAACCGATATTTAACTTAACGACTAGCTGCCATTTTGTTCAAGTGCGATATTTCGAAAAATAGCTATACATTAATTAGTTAGTACTAGATTTATATTTCAACTTTATATTATGTTGTTTTGTTTTCGAATGAATTTTGTAGAAGTGACATCGCAAACTGATTATTAAAACAAGTTTTACAAAAATGTTAAGAATTGTCTTGCCATTTTTTTATTATTTTTTAATAATAGTTTTAATAATATTTTTAATAAAGTATAAATGACAAAGAGAGAAAAATACACTCTTTACAATGAAACAAACATATTTTTTTCCATTTTTCCACAAAAGTTCACAAAATTAGGCTTCATTTTGATGCGTCTAAGTATCTATGCCCCCCTAATATACTGCATACCATGTATGATGTAAATGTCAGCAATGTTCTATGTTTCCCAGCGATAAGTTCTGGATCATCCAATAAGTTTGGATTATACTGGGCAGATTGTTCGTCCCAATCATGAACTGTAACAATATACAGTAAAATAATTATATATAATATTAATAATATACATTAATTTAATAACAAATTTAGATTACATTTTTTAAAACTACCTTTGGAATCAACACTGAAAGACAATGGTGGAGACTCAGAAGTTATGTAATGAGCACGGTTTGTAGCTGTATCATAAGAAAGACACCTAAAATTAAAAAAGGAAATGTTATAAAATGTATATTATTTTATTTTATGGCATGCAGTATGCAATGTGCTCCAGAATTGTTGTATTTCTCTCATTAATGATTAAAAAAAAAAAAGAGAGAGAGAAAAGAGTATTAAGAATTATTTAAAATATAGATATTCCTAATTTTTGAATCCTAAGTAAAAGAATATTGTAACACAATTTGTTACATTTAATTTTTCGATAGTTAATAAATTATAAATTACATATAGAATTAAAAAATTATAACAATAATAGGCTCTTGATCAATTCTTATTAACAAAAAAATGGATTTTAAAATGAAAAACATTGAATATCTTAAGAAGTGTATGAGAAACTTCTGGAATACTATTTATAAACGATATAATGAATACATATAAACACATGCTACATATATGTATATCATTTTAAAATACTTAAAAACAGCAAGTATTTTTTCTTTATATTATCACGAAAATATGGTATGAAATTATTCTG